ATAAAAGGGGTTTTTCATGGGAAAATCAACGAGAGAAATGGTGGGATAATGATGAAAATGTGATTTGAATGTGGTACACCCAAGAGTAAACCACATGATAAGAGTTACATATACTCTATGATGATTACAGGTAACTATAGATATAACTATAGATATAGCTATAGATATAGCTATAGATATAGCTATAGACATAGAATGATATAGGAATTATTGGAACAAAACTGTATATATATATATATTTACAACATGAGATTGCATAATGGTTATGTCACATACAGTAACGCAATAGAACATCCCATACCGGCTATCCTTAATAAATCCCCATAAATCTAGAATCAATCCCAATAAATCTTCAACAAATCGCGATAAAATCCGAAGAATTCTTGCCCTCTGGCAAATTCACATAGACCCTGCTATTCATCGGGGTTTGGAAGATTCGTTTCCACTCAAAACTTCTCATTTTGTCAACCTCTTCATTTCCTTTCCGCCTAAATCATCTCAAAAATCCCCAAGAAGTCTCTCAAAACAACAAAATCCCAACTCCAATCCAGTGAAACCATGGTGAACCCTCTATGTTTCTATGTGAAATTCCCATAAAAATCCTTGAACAATCACAGGTGGCGCCGGCTGCATGCCCTGCGTTGCTGTGCCGCGGCACGGATCCAGGCGACGGTCCGGAGGTGGGCCGCCCAAAGGCGTGGCTCGGGCGACATGGGAAGCGCCTCACGGGTGTTTCACCGTGAAAAATAGGGGATGAACCATGAACAAACAGTTTTTTTCCATGAAAAATTAGGGATTTAGATGATTTAGCCGTTGGGATGTGGCCTTGCACTTCAGTGTCAAAAACAGGGTTTCGATCAACAGTAAACATAGTGGGTCAACCCTGGTGAAGGGTAGTTAAATTCAGCTTATTCTCTTGCCATGCATGGGGATGCATATTTAGCGATTTCTTGCAGGGCATCTAGGGTTGGTGATGATTTTCACTCATTACTCAGTCCCCATAAATATTGCCATAAACTGCTTGAACATCACCATGTGCAGAAAACCCATGAACATATGAAAACAAACCAAACATGCTCCCTTCTGGCACCACAGTTTCTTAAAAGTGGTCGGTCACATGCTGGACGGCAGAGCAGACAAGCAAACTGTTCGTGCAACCAGACGATGCCATCAAAGGAAAGGACCAGGGGAAATAAAGGTACGACCATGACCGTTGTCCTGACGCCGAGAACAAGACAGGATTGTACCCTCAAACTGATATGGAGACCGCAGAAAAATGATATGAAAGATCATTGTACGCAATTGCAAGTCGCATGTTGGTTTCAGTTGATGTTTCAAGAACTCTTTGGATTCAAACTTTCAATGCGCTGTGTCCAATTTTTTGTAGCAACTTGGACCCTCCAGTGGGTTCATGTTCTACCCTCTGGTAAACTAACATAGCTATGGAAAATCACCATTTTTAATGGGAAAATCCACTATAAATGGTCATTTTCAATAGCTATGTTAAATTACCAGAGGGTACTCGCACCCAGGTTACACGTTGCTCTCCCAGCACGTCTGGCGACCCACACGAAGGCTCGCCCTGCTGATGGCTGCCGTACGCTGGCGTTGCTGGAGGACGCATTGCCAGGTGCCACCGGCTTCACCCATGGGTGGATGGGGATTCACCAGCAGGACCCTGGGGTGAAAAAAATGCTGGTTTAGTACATGTAAATCATTGTAAATCAATGAATTTCATTTCAACAAAAAGGGGATCAACCAGCACTGACAGTGTGGATTTATAGAAATAAAGATAATAAAGGTAACTTTTTCGCGTTGTCCTGTCAGTAAACGCAGATTTCTGGCTGGAAAATGGATGAAAATGGTGGTTCAAACAACAAGGTTTGATTTCAAGCATGTGTTTTTGATTTGCCATCCATATCATCCATGCCTGAATGTTTTTCCATAGGCATTGATGCCATTCCTGAACTGATCGTCTCCGGGACTTCAAGATCTTCCCTGACACCGGCAGCAAACGTCCAGGTTTCAGACACCGCGGTGCGGCTGCAGCGCTGCTTCCGGGGCTTTCTTGGACGCCGATCGGCCAAGGAGAAGCAAACGACAGCTGCTTGGTGGTTTGGAACATGGCTTTTATGACTTTCCATATATTGGGGATAATCATTTTAACATATCCCAAGTGACTTTCACTCCATGATTTTTCAGAGGGGTAGGTCAACCACCAACCAGATATAACCAGATTGGGTCCAAGACATATCATATCATAATCATATCATACCCTCTGGTAAACTAACATAGCTATGGAAAATCACCATTTTCAATGGGAAAACTCACTATAAATGGTCATTTTCAATAGCTACGTTAAATTACCAGAGGGTAATCATATTTTTCATCATATCAAAGTTGCATAAAGTTGCCAACTTTTGGGGTCAATATGGTCACTGATGTGGTTTGGCTCAGCCTTTATGCCGCGCAGGAACGCCGCTTGCTGCGAGAGACCTTTGGTAGCTGGCACATGCAGGTGGCTCCAGCACGCAGCGCGCGCAGCGCGCGCAGCGTCAGCCATGGGGATATACCCTCTGGTTACCCTCTGGTAATTTAACATAGCTATTGAACATGGCTATTTATAGTGGATTTTCCCATTAAAAATGGTGATTTTCCATAGTTATGTTAGTTTACCCAGAGGGTATTTAACATAGCTCTGGAAAAATGTACCATTTATAGACCAATGTTTGGGAATTGTCTGGGAATATCGTGTATCTTTGGATGAGATTTCTGAGAAGATAATAGGCTGCAATGTAATTAGGAGATTCGTGAATTGAACTATGAATTGTAGGCTGTAAACACCTGAAATGGATAGAAACCGTACTGAATTTAACATCCAGGTTTTGTTTTGAACATGGATCGGGCCCAAGTTTGGCAGTCAGAAGTACCCAAAACCTAAACGGCTGGACACTTGGATGATTTTCCACCCCAAAAGCCCGGGACAATGTTTGAAACCACCACCCCACCTCCAAGTACGAGATCACGTGTCTCAAATATTTCCCTATTGGTTGCAAGCGATATATTCCCCCACCAACCACCACCAACCAGTTATGGTGGTTATGGTGGTTATGGTGGTTATCCCCCCTAATTGTTGATTGAAGCATGCCAAAACCTGGGAAAATCCAGGTAGTTTGGAGGGAGCCCAGGAGCTAGTAGCAGCTACAGACAGACGTTGCTATTGATGGTGATTCACCTCCATCCATGTGGCTTTGTGAAAAAACGGCAACCGAAATCCAGCATCCACTGGTTACCCTCTGGAAAACTAACATAACTATAGAAAAACACTATTTTTATATAGCTAAATCATCTAAATGCTCCATGGTTTCCATAGCTTTATGAGATCAATGGCCATTATATGGTACTAACGTACCTCCATTTTAGGATCCTGAAATTCCCATTGATTTTGAGGCTAATCATCTTCAGATCTCCTTCGCCACGTCCCCAGGCGGGTCCCTTACGCCGCGCAGCGCGGCTTCGGCTGCAGCGCTGCTGGCGTGGCCTTCGGGACCGGAGACGCTGCGAGGCGCGGCGCAAGGCGCTGCGTCGGCTGCAGCGACCTGGCCCTGGCCGCGGTGGATGGGGCGATGGGATGGGATCTACCCAATTTATAGTGATTTAATGGGATTTTATAGTGATTTAATGGGATTTTATAGTGATTCAATGGGATTTTATAGTGATTTAATGGGATTTATAGTGGTTTAATGGGATTTTATAGTGATTCAATGGGATTTATAGTGGTTTAATGGGATTTTATAGTGATTCAATGGGATATTAATGGGATATACCCTCTGGTAAACTAAGCGTTTGCGACATAGAAAATGGCCATAGAAATAGTGGTTTTTCCCATTGAAAATGGTGATTCCTCTGGTAATTTGTGACAGTTTGCTACCGAAAATGGCCATTGAGTTCGTTGATTTAGCCATTAAAAATGGTGATGTTCCATAGGGATGTTAGTTTATATCAGCGGGTAGCTATGGAAAATCACCCATTTTAATAGGTAAATCAACTATATGACTATATGTAAATGTGCCATTTTCCATAGCCGCCATAGCCATGTTAAATTGCCAGAGGGTAAATCATGGGAAAGAAGGGGGGGATCAATGTCCATTAATGATGTGATCAATGCATATATATATATATAATATTATCAATATTATCATCTTTATGAATGATGGAAAAAAGGGTGAGGATCACTATCCATTTATTTAGGGATGATGGTGAAGGGGAATCATCCCAAAAAGAGCCCTAGTTCAGGTTTGTGAATGATCGTTTACCCATATCATAGAATGATCATAACTTATGGATGATTAGAGATCAATACCATGATTAAGATGGGATCCCTTTGCCTTTTGGGTTCATAATGCACACATAATTAATACCCTTTGGTAATTTAACATAGCTATTGAAAATGGTGATTTATAGTGGATTTTCCCATGAAAAATGGTGATTTTCCATAGCTATGTTAGTTTACCAGAGGGTAATAGTCAATATCCAATAATGATCAACAATGATGGTTGATGCTGATGGTCAAGAACTGGAGACCTGATAGTATTTGCCGATCTCGCCATCAACATGTAACAAAATATAGGATTTAATCATCAAAAATGGTGGTTCAGCAAGCGAGAATAGTTAATACGATCTATATGGAAGATTGATGGGACTGATTGGTTGTTTACTTGTCACAAATAGGAGGAGTCAGCATTTTTTTGTTTCTATGGGGATGTTGGGGGATATATAGTGGGAAATGATGGTGCCCCCATATTCATAACCCCTAATATGGTCAAAACTGTTATGTAATTATGTATATATAATATATACATTATTGATGATTAATAGTTGTAACAACCTGGAGGGCTAACCTTGAGTTTGAAATTACAAAGTGCCCTCCAGTAAACTCACATAGCTTTGGCAGCTATGGCTCATTCAGTTCGTTGATTTACCGTGATTTTTTGCTGGTGCTTGTCCATAGCTACTCTCTGATAAACCAACATAACTATGGAAAATCACCAGTTTTTATAGGTAAATCAACGACTTCAATGGCCATTTTCAATAGCAAACGCTTAGTTTACCAGAGGCTATGTTGCTATGTTGGTTGAGGGTGTTGAGGCGAAGGGTTACAGGTAACCGCTCTAAGGCCCCCACCGGCACCGAGGTCCGCCCTGCGGCGGCAAATCTGTTGCAAGCAACGACGCTGGCGTCGAGCGGCCATCCTGGTGCAACGAAGACGCATGGCGAGGGAACGGGTGGCGAGGGGCATGGTGAGATGGGGAAAGAAACCAACGCCTCAATTCATCTCAATTCTAAGGGCGAAAATGTTCTTCTTCTTATTATTCTATCTTCTATCTTCTATCTTCTTCTTATTGTTCATGATTTATTACATAACTATTAAATGATATTATTACTGTTACATATTCGTGCTATTAGTTCTATTTCGCGATTTATGTGACCCCTCCTATGGATGACCTGGGGGTTTTCTTAAAACGGTGACCCCCCAAAAGTATCCAAAAGTTTTGTTGTTATCTTGTTGGTGTGTCCCCAATGGTGAGAATGATGCCAGAACTTGAGTTGCTCAATCTGCGGGAGCCGCCCGTTGTGTCGGATCTCATGATGATCTGAATTATGAAAATCCCGCGGATGTTCATTGATTTGATAAAGATGATACAGATGATAAAGTCATTTTTTTTTTTAAACATATATTTTTTGAATAATCCACAATAAACAACAGGTGGATTGTCCGTAAAGATGATCAACTGTGGGCTTGGAATCCGCCACTTGGCGAAGCATGGCCCAGGTGACTTGGATTCATGGCCATTGAATTCGTGGATTGACCGGAAAAAACCTGGTGATTTTCCATAGTTACGTTGGTTTACCAGAGGGTATATATTATACAATATTATACATATATATATATATATACGTATAATTATATAACTGTATATATATATACATAGATGTATACCCTCTGGTAAACTAGCATAGCTATTGAAAATGGCCATTTATGTGATGAGATAATAATCGGATGATCATTGGAAGAATCTTCAGAATATCAGAAGGTCTATACTGGTTGGTGGTTTGGAACGTGGCTTTTATGACTTTCCATATATTGGGAATGTCATCATCCCAACTGTTACTCACTCATAATTTTCAGAGGGGTAGGTATACCACCAACCAGTATATATATATACACATATTATATCACTGTAAAGAAGAAGTAACAGCAATATATTCAGCCATATATTCACCATATGTTGGAGGTTTTCGCACGTTGCATTGATGTGGTTTGAAAGCCACACCGCGCCCAGGATTCCGCGGCTTCAGATGTTCCAAGCGCTTTCGGCACCTGAGACGACTGGGTCGCGTTGATTCACCACTGACTGAAGCGGTGCGTCTGGGTCCAGGATATCAGGTAGATCCATAGTCATGTGTATATGTATATATTACTATGTTACTCTAGGATATATTACTAGTACAGTATAATTACAGTAATTATCATATATATATAGGTATAATCTGGTTGGTGCTTTGGAACATGGCATAACATGGCTTTTATTTTTCCATCCAGTTGGGAATGTCATCATCCCAACTAACTTTCATATTTTTCAGAGGGGCTGAAACCCCCAACCAGTAATGTATATAGATATCAGGGATATAATATATATATATATCCCCTTGTGTTACTCTATAGATATGATGCCCATGATGTATCTCATATTTCTATGTGTGTATATATATATATGTAATTATATATATATATAATTATATATATATAACTATATATGTATAGGCACGCCTTCAGCGAGATGGCGCTGAGGCATAGCATCCGAATGATCATGATGATCCAGCGGGGCTTTCGTTGCTGGCTTTCCAGGCAGCGCAGATAGGTGTCGTATCTGCTGGTTTTTCGACCCTGGAAGATTTTGTAGGGCTCGGATTGATACACTGTACCAGTTTCACTTGCATGTTGGAACCATAGATGTCCTTTTCCCATTGGTTGATTAATAGAGGGGTTTGAAGAAACCCCTTTGACAACAGGTAAATGATGATAGATGGTGTACGGTGTACCAAATCGGCCCCTCTATTTTTACCAAAAGGACATTATTGGTTGGAACATGATTATCACTATTTCAACTACTGTTTCCCCCAACATGTCACAAAAAGACATGTTTGAACTTTGAACATGATTACCCTCTGGTAAACTAACATAGCTATGGAACATCGCCATTTTTAATGGGTAAATCAACTATAAATGGGCCATTTTCCATAGCAAACTGTCACAAATTACCAGAGGATTCCACCGATTCGTCCTGAGTTTTGATGTTGTTGCTGGTGGTTATATAAGAAACCCAAAACCGTTTAGGCCTATTATTGTGGATCCTAGATTTTATATGATTTTATATGATTTTATATGATTTTATATGATTTTATATGATTTTATATGATTTTATATGATCCATTCCCCAAACAAGTCCGACACTTTTGGTGGGTTACGTTCCCAATTTACGGGTCAAAGTCACTGGAAGGATGGTGATTCGAGGAACCATCCCTCAGGGCAAAATGTTCCGCTATTTCAAGGCTGAATTTTGATAATTCAGCCAGAATTTCAATGAACAGTTCGTAACTATATTCCACTGGTTTTTGCTCCATTATATCCCATGAAATATCCCGATTTTCCATGTATCGCCATTGCATTCCCAACATGGGTCACCATCGGCCAATCGGCCACAAGGCGCCGTTTGGCAATGCTGCAGCGCTTTGCCGCGCGACGCCGGAAGTGGCTGAAGCAGGATGGCCCGCGGGACACGGGTAAGATCTAAAGGAAATTATGTGGATACACATAGCCTTTGGTAAACTCACAAAGCTATTGAAAATGGCACATTTATCATTTATAGTTGATTTACCAATTAAAGATGGTGATTTTCCATAGTTTTTTGTATGTTTACCAGAGGGTTTCCAGAAATGTTGGTACCCCAATAGCTGGATGGTTTATAATGGAAAGTCCTTTTAAAATGGATGACTTAGGGGTACCACTATTTCAGGAAACCTTAAAAAATCATATGAGCTACAGGCCGCAAGACCTCCGGCAATAGAACCTTATAAGTGGCTTACCCTCTGGTAAACTAACATAGCTATTGAAAATGGCCCATGTATAGTGGATTTACCCATTGAGGATGGTGATTTTCCATAGTTATGTTAGTTTACCAGAGGGTAACTATGGTTTATTGATGTTTATTGATGTTTATTGTAGATATAACATGATATAACTATAGCTAATGAGGTTTAATTTTTTTAAAAGCCAACTTATTACTTTTTGGGGCACTATCATGTATGAAAACGTGTAAATGGAAGAGCCGGACATGGGCAGGAAAGAAATTCTGCAGACATGAGGTAGGCGATGGGACCTTGACCTTCCCAAATAGCAATGCCCCCTTCGAAGGTGATGCCGTCTACATCATTTTCCTTTAAGCGATACTCCCCAAAACATGCCATACATCGTTTTTGTACAAACATGTGGTAAGTGATGGGACCTTCCCAAATTTGTTCATGTCCTTTTCGTGAACCTTGAGTTTCCGAGACTATATATATATATACATGCGTTGCACAAATTCAATCATATTCATACACTTTCATACATTCTGATGTGCATTTATACATAGATGACTAAATACACACACACACATAAATACATAAATACATATATGTATATATATATATACATACTGGATATACTGTACATACACATACGCATACACACATACATACCATACGATACCATACCATAGCATACCATACCATACCATTACATTAAATTACATACATATAATACATATATATATATATGTACATATACAGATACATGCTGGTCATCAGATCCCAGTGGCTGGAAAACATCCCACATATAGTAGCAGGGAGTATCCCGCATACTATCCCATGTAGTTATGATTGCGATCATGGTCATGGACTCTAAAAGATCCAGGGGACGCAAACGGAATGATGGGCATTGGATTGGGGTAGCGGGGCCCCAAACACGGCCGAACTTTGCAGGTTAGTTATTTACTATATATATACACACACACATATATATATACATCTGTATTTATCTACAGTATATAAATATGTGATATATACACTCTCATGAGCTTCTCAGTACTCAGTAGTCTATTTCAGGCTGGTGAAAAATCGCACAGTTCCAGCCAGATGCCACAAAAGTTTTGGCCGGACAAACCTGCCAAGACAGATCAGATTCGAAAAAAAGCATTTCCAAACAGTTGGCTACAAATCAATCACTACTTTTTAGGAACCGATTATGGTTCTTACAGAAATAGTAGCTATGTTGGTAATTGACACAAGAGCAACTATCACATGGCAATGGTTTTAACGGTAACGGTAGTTGGACAGAAACCAAGCTTGGAAATAGTAGCTGGTCCGTTTTGAACATTTGGATCATGGCTCAAATGATGCAAATGAAAGTCCAACTGGCCGCGGTCAGGTGATCCTCAACATCTCCCATTGATGATCTCCTACTCCCCAGCTATTTTCACCTGCCATATGACAGTCTTTTTGTTGGGTATCTACGATATGACCGGCTTGGGCTGCTAGGATGCCGAACCGAGCCCGGTTGAAACGACCGCCCCTTGGCTGTTCCATGTTTTTTTGGGGTAATCTATGGCAGTAATAATGGTAATGGTAAATCTGAGTAATGGTAAATCTATGGTAATGGTAATAATGTAATTTTTTTATTGCTCACTGGATCTATGAATCTATGTACAAATCTGACACTGCTTTACTTCCACGCCTTTGTCACACGTTTATGGGGTACAGGGTTCTCGCGGATCTTAGACGGGGCTCAAAATGATCCAAGTTTGGATCCAAGACCGACTTCGTCTCAAGCTAATACTGATCTTGCCCCAATTTGAAGGAGAGCTCCTAGAATTTCTGGGACACTTCAATGAAGAAACTCCAAAAAAAACAAAGTAAATGGTAAACAAACACGTGAAAACGTATCATTTACATGCAACATGGCCTTTGGATTCTGTTTGAAAACGACAGATTTGGAACACGTTTGGCTGCAGCCTCCCGAAGTCATCATTTTCCCCATGCTTTTCGATCAGTTTCTCCCAGCGCCCAGCGCCGCGTCAAGGTGCTGATTAAGGACGAAGATGCGACGACCCAAAGCTCTACGCGGCCGGAGAGACTTTCCATGCCATCCCATTCCATGTGAGTTGGTTGGGATCATCATCAATAATCATAGCAACAACTAGTTATTTAACATAGCCATGGAAAATGGCCCATTTATAGATGGTTTACCTATTAAAAATGGTGATTTTCCATGGCTATGTTAAATAACCAGATGGTATAACACTTACAACTATATATGTATATATCAATGATTAATGATTAATATCAATGATTAATGATCAATTTTATTCATGAATATCTATGTATATCAACTATATGTACATGAGTAAGATGATGAATGCATATCAATGATAGTAATCATCAACCGCAGGAGAGCGAAGCCCCTGATGCCTCCTCCGCGCGCAGCGCGACGGACGAGATGGACATTTCCATCGGTCGCCTGGAGAATGGGGATCAACCAGGGTCATCTGGAAATATGATGAAGATTTACGGTGCAGTATTATTCATATGTATTAATATGAGTGTTAATGCCTATGAATATATATTTAAATTTAAGTATATTTCATATTTACAGCGATATTTAATATTTATAGTGATAATCATGATCAAATATGATATATATATAATACAATACATGAGTAACAGAGTAACAAAATATTTTTGGATGGATGGATCGATTGGACTATACTGGACTGGAGTGGATTGCATTGCATTGGATTGGATTAGATAGATTTGATTTATGGATGGATAGATGGATAGATGGACGGATGGATAGACATGTAGATAGATATTACATGGTTAATACGTGAGTTAATTGCTATGATAGCGATTAGTAGTAAAACATGGATCAATGGGTCCGTCTAGCCCTGGGCTGCAACGTTTACTGACCATCCCACTCAGTACAGGAGGAACAATCCTGGTGAGTTTGCTCGTTGTTGTTTTGCAGGAACCCACCTTTTCAATCAAGAAAATCGAGTTGGAAAACATACATGAGTCATTAATTTTAATTGTTTTCCATGTTTTTTTTCAGATTGTCTTACTGGTGCTTAGCAGGGAATAATCACTAGTAATAATCATCCCATTCCCCCAGTCCCATCCATTCCCTGCGTTTAGCACCAGTAAGTTGTACCCTCTGGTAAACTAACATAGCTATTGAAAATGGCCATTTATAAGTGGATTTTCCCATTAAAAATGGTGGATCTTTCCATAGTTTTTTGTATGTTTACCAGAGGGTAGTAGTTTGCAGATGATCAGATGGCCAAACCATGCGAGCATGTGCGAGCCATCTGGCGCAGGTCTGATCGATGTACCGGAGCCTGAAGTGAGGCGAGGGCGGCGCCACGTTTAGGCCCAAGGTATCAAGGTGAGGTTTTCGTTTGGTTAAGTATGGTGTAGATTGGTGTAGATTGGTGTAGATTGGCTAACTTAGCTCAGTTGACTTAGAAAAATACTTCTGACTTGGTGAAGTATGGTTTAGGGAGCTTGTAAGTGAAGTTACCCTCTGGTTATTTAACATAGCCATGGAAAATGGCCCATTTATAGATGCTTTAGCCGGTTTACCTATTAAAAATGGTGATTTTCTATGGCAAACTGTTAAATAACCAGATGGTAATGGGGTTTATAAACCAATTTATAGCTGGGAGGCCTCATCTTGTCTGGTAGACCAACAGTTTGCTATAGTTTGCGAACTGGAACATCGCCATCTTTTCAGAGGTAAATCAACTATCAACGGGCCAACTTACCCCTTGATACTTTAACATAGCTATGACAAATCACCCATTGATAGATGATTTATTTTGATTTACCTATCAAAAATATAGGCGATTTTCCAGTTCGCAAAGCGTCAAGCAACATCAAACAACCGGGTAAGGTATGGTCCATTGAAGACTCATATTGTTCCATAGAAAACTCATACTACCCTCTGGTAAACTAACAGTTTGCGAACAGGAAAATCACCATGTTTAAGTTCGGTAAATCAAGAATTTCTATGGGCCATTTTGCTATTTTCTATAGCTATGGTTAAATTCCTAGAGGGATCTAGCCATGGTTCCCCTTAAATCATCTACCGCAGACTGGACCTTGGCCCAGGCCTCCGGATCCGGGGCCTGGTGGCATCGGAGATGAGACGCTTTTGATGGCGCGGAATCTGGTGGAGGCCGCGGATCCAGTGGTTACACACCAAACGCTGGGACTGCGAAAGTGCGAAAAATCCCAGTGGGAGATGGAGGGAGCCAACTAAGGAGCTACGAATCGAGTTTACCATCAAATAGACTAGAAAGGTGAAAAAAACCATGATGAATGTCTGTGGATTTTTTTTTCTCATTCTGCAGCTTGAGTAAATCAATCACTCGTGCTGACATGCAGTGATGTCGACTAAGTGCCACGATTGGGCTGGTAGTCTGGCAAAAAATCGGATGCAAAAACGGTGCCACTTGCTTCGGCAACACGCAGCATCCATTGGCCATCTTCAGGCCGTAAATCATTGAAGGAATGAATTCGTGAGCCTTCCTGTCTGATCCGGGTGCGAAGTCCAGTGAACAAGGTGATGATCATTGCCTTACAGAGACCTGCCGGGTACTCCTTGGTCTCGGCTGTACGGAATCGCTTTTCCGTATGGTCGAATCCCTCAAGGATGTTGCACGGCTTCTGAAGGCCTGGAATTTCTTCAGCATGGAACACATTGGAGCTCGGGGGCAAACCAAGCAATCGCAGCGTAGTAGGCTTGACACATGGTGCGCCAAAGCGCCATTGATGAAAAACAATCTGCTGAGAACCTGGTGCCTGCATGCAAAATTTGGATTGGAGTTTGGTGCGCCAGACACTGGCAAAGGTCATATCAAAGGGTGGAGCAGGATGTTCCATTCCAGTTGCTCCACCTCCTAAGTAGACGCGCAGTTCAAGTCGCACATTGTGGAGCATGAGCTTGCTACCAAGAGCTAGTTGTCGCAGCTCCCTGAGGTTTAGGCCATGAACACCCCAAGGGCGTAGTGCCGAACGTAATGGTCGAGGCCATTGGAACGGACTATCGTCAGGAGCTGGAACATGCCTGGCTGCGCTCCATGTTTCGCAAGGAGGGCCTGCTAAGGAGCAAGCTACATACTGAGCATCCACAATTCGAAACAAAGCAGCAAGCCCTTCTCCCTCGGCTAAATTGCACAAGTTAGGGTCAACTGCCGTATCCAATGAAAGGACGCAAAGTTTCAAATCAGGAAAAACTCCGAAAAGAGGGTCTGTGCCCAAAAATGACAATCTCCTTCTCGTCGTCTGCCCGAAAATAGGTGGATCATCACAATGGTATGAGAACCATCTGGAAAACGACATACAGGCACTCCTCTAGGTCGGGGCCAGCGCAGGACGTCGGAATCCACAAATGGTGAAAGCAATTCATCAGGGTTATCGAAGCATCCATCGAGAGATTCCAAGGCATGATGGTTACGTGGATCTCGAACACTCGCTGGTACTTCGAGAGGAATTTCAACAGGTGGACGGCCTCGATGAAGTCTGTCCAATTCAGACAGCAGAGGATCCATAGGAAATTCCTGTGCGAGATCAGCGTAGGCTTGTTCAATGATGGGACCAATATCGACATCATCAACACATTCAAGGACATCGGTGATGTCTGACCGACCCCAGATGAGAAACGCCCATAAAGCATACACCCCTTGTATCTCTGAACGTCGTTCACACTCATCAATAAAGGAGCACCATTGGAAGATGAGTTGATCAGCAATCGCATCATGGGCATAATCTCGGCAAACCTGCAGGGTAATAGCACGAATACGATCAAAAACTGTTTGACAAATGATGTCAGGGAGCTCATCAGGATACCCATGTTCAGCCCATCGCGCTCTCCATTGCTCCCAGTCATGTTGGTGCTTGCGGACCCAACATGTAGTAGCCGGGACAGAAGCTGGGCCATCTGCATAGGCCCATGGAAGACGATGCATGTTCCGGTGAAAATCAGGCAATGCAATGGGTGTCGATGTTGCTTGGGGATCAAAATGTCTCCTCAAAATGGCAAGGCAACCATCTTCATGTTTTCGGGAATATCGCAAGTGCTGTTGAAGTCTCTGAGCAGTCCAGAAGCATTTGCCACATGCTGCACATGTGCTAGAAAAAACATACTGACGCTCAAGAGAAATCTCATGATGTACACGCCAACGGTGCGCAGAAAGGCCTTGCGGAGTCGTGAAGCTTGCAGGACAAGTAGAGCACTGAAAACGTTGCAAACGAAGGTTGTCAGGCACAGGGGCATTGTCAAAGCAAATCCCATGCTGGGTGCACACTTGTTGCAGATCACGATATCCATGTGCAACTTCCTGAATCATATGTTCTTGCAGGATGTGCTTCTTCACCGCAATTCGCACTCGATTAGCACAAGCCGGCGTAGCAGCAGAGAGCCACTTGAAGATATCAACGGTGGACCAGTCAGTTTCGGCAGGGACATCATGAGGGCACAGGCGCGCAAACCATCTGAGCGCATGGCGAAGTGCATGAAGCCACGAATCCTCACAAAGGTCATCCTCAAGAGAGATGCAATTCCAGAGCTCAATGGGGGCATGCTGGTACATCTTCAATGCTAGCAGTAGACGGTGCTTAGCAAGGCGAACTGACAAACATGGGAGCTCCCAAGTTGCCAAAAATTCATAGTCAGTCATGCGCGTGTGGGACCAAAATCCAACACCGACAATGCTACGCTGCCAGGATAAAATGGCATGTGAGACATGGGTATATTGTCGATGAGACAAAAGAGGCCACGCTCCACTGCCATACATCAGAATTGAAATAACAAGGGATTCAAGGAGCTGGAGCCGCGCTTTCACTGGAATGTGCCGGTTATGAAAGATGGTTCTCCGCATCTGTCTGAAGGCACTGGATGCTTTGCCAACTCTCGTCTTCAGCTCAGTGGCAATAGACATGCTTTGGGAAGCAACAGCACCTAGATGCGTGTAGCACGCAACTACATGAAGATCAAGATGACCGGGAACAGGCAGTCGCCCATGATCATCAATGAATCGAGCACGTCGGCAGTCCCCGGCACCTGTGCCCTTGTAGCTCAGAATTGCTTCGGTTTTTCCTGGTGACATATTGAGCCGTAATCCATACTTGGCAAAGATCTGATGTATCTGAACCATCACGTCGGCAACTGTAGGGTCCAGCATAGCAGCAGTCTGGGTGAGCACAGGGAATGCAACATCGTCAACCCAAGCAATAACTGGAACTTCAATGCCAACAGTAGAACTTGCAGCAAGGATTTGAGGGTGATCTCGCAGGAAAGGTTGCAGTTCTCGCAGGATGGAGACCATCAGCAAATTATAAGCTATATCTGCCACTGGCGATCCTGGGCGGGAGCCACGCGCAGTGGTGTAGCATTGGGCTTCCTGAGGTGACGCAAACCATGTATGGGAATGCGCATCCTTTAAAATGCGAGCTGTCACGGGTGCAACTGTCTGCTCAAATGAGGATGCATGGTTTTGAATGTCATGCTCAAGCTGGGTTACTGACAATCCTTCACGAGTCAACAAGTCTGCTAGAACAGGTGGAAAAGCAAGACCTGTGCCAAAAACGTGCTCACGCAAAAGGCAGTGGAAAGCATTGCGCACATCTAAGAACACTATCGCAGTTGACAAACCGTGATGAAGGGCCAAACGTCCAAAAAGCCGGAGCCAGAGTGTGGCAAAACTAGCTTGTTGGTCTCTGAAGCCTCCAAACTGTGATTTCAGTTTTCGATCTTGAGCAGAAGGCAACACTGCGTTCCGCATCAGTGCATGACCCATTTTGCCCAAACCATCCAACAAAACTATGCCTCTCATGTCTGCGGCATGCATGGAAATCTTCTTCTTCGTGATGGTCCATACCATTCCGCCCTTAAATTGTAAGGGTTCGGCACTGGTAAGCCACGATTTGAAAAATAGGGAATGGAAAGCACTAGAGAAAGTTAAGGCTTGGCATCGCAAATGTTCATTGAGCACAGTATCAAGGCCCGGTGCTTTCCGCGATTTCACACGTCTGGCTACTATCTCGACATCCAGTCGGGAAGGCACATGAGCAAGATCGATACTGAGAGGTGCTTCATCAATGCGACTCTTCTGATCTTCAAAACATTGTGACAGCAAAGAGGCATAATCGCATGGCTCACCAGCTTCGAGAGAGCAATAGTGGCTCATGAGATCTGCATTTGTTGGACCACGGCATCGTATATTTTGCTGGCTCCGCTTGATGTTCTTGGGCAACAGAGGTTTGATTGATGTCCACAAACGATTGAAACCCTCATCAGCTGCAATCTGACCTTGTTGTTCGGCAAGGTGGATGAAGAACTTCTTGTCATCAAGTCGGACAGCCTTAGTCACATAACGACTCAGGCGTTGATACTGCCACAAATGCAAGGCAATGGTCTGGTCACATAATCGCATCCACTGAGAACAATCAGACACTGGCGCCGTGGCTTTCCAAGCACGAAACACAGCAAGCAAGTAATGTCGGTTCTGCAAGCGTTGGACTGTGCGCACTCGAAGGAAATGATGTCGTTTCCATCGGATCATATGCCATGTCTCGTCTGTCATATGGCTTTTTCTTCGAACAGCCTTGGTGCGAGGTGGTTGTGTGGTGCGTAACCAACGTTGCAGGGTGGCAGCATGCGTGTGCACATTAACATTCCACTCAATGTTTGGCGGAAGGGTGTCACAAACTGTGGGCAGAGGACGAAAGTCATGCATGCAGCGTGGATTTACACGGCAAGAAAACTCAATGGGTAGATCCACTTGAACTGCAACATGATCCAGCTTTTGCATGGCAAGATCAATTTCGGCAATAGATGTACGAACCTGACATGAGCGTAGACATTGAGACAGCACAACATAGTCTAGCCTAGCCGCTGCTCCACTGGCATGGAACCATGTGTTTCCTTCACCGACATGAAAATCGGCAAATGTCTGGGGCGCATACATGTCAGAGTCTTGGAGCCATTGATGGAAAATGCTTCCAGGCGGATTCTCAACTTGAAACTGATGACCTCCTACATGATCAGACACAAATTCACCGACCCGAGCATTGGCATCAACGAGACCGATCGTTGGAACGTGTCTCAAATGATGAGGAACGGCTGCTGTCGTAGCTTTCCACCAGGTGCGGTACTCTTCATCAGGGACATTAGAAGGCGCATGTCCAACAAGAAAAATCAAATGCAAGCCATCGTGTTTGAGTTGAACTACTAACCTTCGAGAGGTTGCATGGAGAATTCGCAAATGCCGAGCAAGAATGGCCAAGGTACCTGAAGAAGTCTTCCAGGTTTGTTGGATCCAAAGTTGAACTCCTCCTTGTCCACGCGATGTGGCAGGGGAACTCAAAACATGGAAGCTGTCTACAACAAAATGGCCTGAGGCTTTGGAGCGTGTTTCCTGGACGCCAATCACTTGAGCATGAATATTTTGAAATTGCTTCATCAAGGATTCTTGTCGTGCCGTCACATATGACCCATGACCTGCTTCGGAAGGAAACAGCGTGAGCACATTGGCAGTACAACATCTCAAGGTCATGCTCGAGGGGTGTTGCAGCGCATCATTTCGCTCATTCCGCATAACAAAGGGATGATGGTCAGCGAACGGAGAGACAAGGAATGGGGCATCAAGGTCCACATGCATGATGTGTTGCTGCAGGCACGGAAAACCGCATTCACCTTGTTGAGCTGCTTCCACGAACCACAACCATTCAACGCATTTCGAATCTGTGCTGTCGAAGGTAAGCGAAGCAAGAATCTCAGTGATAGGGACAGAGGCGATCCATTGGTGTAGAGCAGCCCAGGCTGCTGCATCAGCAGCTTCATTCCAGGGATGGTCATTGTGAGCCTTGATATGGTTCCAGTGCCATTGACATCGGTGTCTCTGCTGAAGCCACTGCACGAGCGCACGAGCTGGTTTCTGAATATCAGCATGTGCAAGGATCTGCCATTGGCCAGCAGCAGGCAAACCAGCAGCAAGGCAATCGAAACCAAACTCAACATCTTGAATTGTTTGCGACTGCTCTTCAAGGATCTGAGAAGCCCAAAGAAGCGCTCCCAGAATCGCTGCCATCTCAGCACGAGGGGCTGATGCTCCTTCAAAGAGGGAGAAGCATCGAAATCCTCCAAAGAGAGTATCATGCAAGGTATGTACGAGGAGCACTACCGCTGAAGCTCCTTGACGCACTCCATCAACATGCGCAGCTGATCCATCTGTGAAGAAAGAAATCTTGATTGGGGGCTCCTTGGTCCACGCTACCATGGTTTCAAATGCTGCCAGGGTGACCGGATGCCACTTAACGACTGCATTGTTGGAATGCCATTGACCTAAGTCAATCTGCAAGCACTGCTGCCGTAAAAATAAGGGCTTGGCACAATCGATGGCAGTCCTGCGAGGAGATGGGATCAAGCCATCAAGGCACAAAACTTTCTGCTTCTGGCGCAAGCGTGACTCTTGTAGCGCAGATTTTAGCATTGAAAGATGCTCACTAAAACGTGCTAAGCGCAAAGCTAAATCATCTTCCTCGAAGCATTCATAATGGTGTGTCATGTGTCGTTGGGTCTGAAGCATGGTGTGTCCTGAAACATGCAACACATGGCCTTGTTGCATGTAGGCATTTTCATCAGATTCTTCCTCATGAGCATCCCAAGAGTGTAAAGTCTGGCGATGAATGTGAACCTGCAAGGTTGTGCCCTGATCAAGAGCATGGCTGGCATCTTCAATCAGCTTGCCTTGTCGCCAAACTTGACATTGAACTCCTGGGGTGATGCATTCATCCGTTTTCGCAATGGCATCAATCACAGCGGACCTACTGGGTGGATTTGCACAAACCACGGCCGCTGAAAATGGGCGTCCCTGCATGACAGCATGATCATACTTAGTCACAATGAGCCCAACATGTTGCGAATCAATCTGCTGATAAAGCAAGATGTGAATATCACTCAAGGGACTGCAAGGCGGAGTGGGACGCACAAATGCAAATTCCATGTCTTCACTTGCGTCTTCCAGATCATGCCAAACACGCCTCAGATCATCTATCCATTCAGTGAAGTCACTGCCTAGCAAGACCTTGCGCTGTTGGTCATTGTATGTAACCGCTGTTCCATCCAGGTACCATGTGGTGACTTCAAGAAACCGCTCCATTAAAATTTCATTGCGCTGGCCATAGCGAACCCACAATTGTTGAAGGTTCTGAATGAACTGTGGTTGATCCTCCAATCGCATTGACAGCATTGGAAAACGCGGGACTAATGGATCATCAAAAACCAGAACAACTGCACCTAAACTCCAATGCAATTCGGGGTCAGCCAGCTCTCCTGGGGATGGGATCACCAGGCGAACTCCCTCTCCAGTGGTGAAACGATCAAACCATTTCTTCCCAGGCGCGCCACGATGCAAGGTACAACGCCTGCCTCGGCATACTCGGTCAATCTTGAGTTGACAAGCCAGGTCACTTGGGGAAATTCCATGTCTGACCACTGCAACCGCATGGGTAGTTCCATCAAGGGTGAGAGCTTTGAATTGGAAGCTTAGAAGAATAGGCACAAGCAGCTCATTAGGATGTTGATAAACAATCAAATGTCCTATGGTGCGCATTACTGGAGCATCGACTGGCTTTGGGAACACCCAAGCAAAGTGAACTGGGGAGCCAGTCTGAATTTTGTCACGCCACGTATGCTGGATATCATGTGCCCACAAGCTCGTTTGAGAGTCCAGTCGAACCGTGCGGGGATGCTCATTGGTGCTTTCAACTGAACAATCGGCAAACCATGTAGTCAAATACGCAACTGGTCCTTCATCATCATTTTCAGTATGCGCTTCGTCCCCAAAGAATGTGGCAAGGGCACGATACCACAAAGGCCAACGTTCAGTTGTACGAGGATTGAACTGAAGAAGACAGGAATCATTCACAATTTGGTGCACAGCTTCAGCAAGATGACCATCAGCCGGCTGGCTGGAAATTACAGCTACATCAGTGCTAGAGGCGGCCTGACTGCTGGAAGCAGGTTGATTGTCAAGGGATCTCGGGTCACTAGGTGGCTTTTGCATGAGCGAAATATCATCATGTTCATTCCCATCTCTGCCCAGGTGTCCGAATTCACGACGAATGTCTTCTGAATCAACAAGACTGGGTGAGACATCAGGTTCTGATTCTTCTGATTCCTCCTGCACACTTGGCGGTGTTGGGATGTAATACTGGTTCCAAAATGTCTCAACATCCAACGTGCGGCTGGCTGTCAACATGTCACGTGTGGCCACTTCGCAACGCTCTGGAGGGGCACCGTCAACTGGACGTAGTTGCCATGCCGCATACGCCGAGGCATGACTTCTTGGAGAGGCCATTCAGCATTTTCATGATTGACAAGACAACGATTGTGCTCAAAACGGCAGTATTCAAATACCTGGGTATGCAAAAGGAGAGCTTGACGATTCAACATCACTGGGACCGCAAGAACTTTCCTTCTGATTTGAGGTGCCGTCATGTAATGCATTTCTTGTGCCTGGCCATGCACAATGATATCAATCATGATCAACACTGATGATTCACCTACTGGAATATCTCGTGCCAAATGCACAATCAAGGGCACTGTTCCCTCGGGTATATCATCAGGTTTTGTGGTCATGTCATGGCAATCAAGCAAGTCTACGCGATCAACCGCAAAATGATGAGCTATTTCTCGCATCATTGCTGCAAAATCTACCCAATTCAGCATGACATGGATGGGCACATCATCAAGGTGATAAAGCAGGACAGACTGTCGATTCTCATCATGATTGGGAGGGCGCATGCCTGGGTCAGAAGGGTCATCGGGAGGCCCGTTTCCATCTTCAGATTCCTCAGGATCCCGCCCATTGAGATCTGAAGGTCCATTAGTGCCATCACTACTTGCACCATCATCATTTTGCACACCGTTTGTCATTGGCTGATGATACCACATTGGTGCATCAGGGGCATCATTCTGTACCGGGCGAGGCATTTTTTGCATGAAGGATGACAATTCAGCTTCAACGTAAGGTGGAGAGCTCGACAAGGTCTCAGGAGACACAGGAGCAACTTTCCACTGCTTGATTTTATTGCAATTGGAATTTGTGATTGCAAGTGAGCTCGACACGGCCTCGACAGACAGCGGAGCAGCCAACTTGCAGCATTTCTGTGTGAACTGATGAATCACTCTTTGGACATGATCATGACAACATGTATACACAGTACACAAGGACAATAATGGGTCAGAGCAACAAACAGAAACTTGTTCACTGAATGAGACTGACCTAGATCGGCTGCGAGGAACTAAAGGTTGGAGACAAGGTGTTGGACCATTCAAAAATGAAAACGTCTGATGGATGGAATCACACTCCCAGGAAAGCAAAAGCGCATCCCACAGCGCATGCCAAACCGGTCGAAAATCATCTTCAAATGTGATTGAATGGTTCCAACGCATCAGGAAGGTCTCTTCACTTGTCTGGACTTCTAGCCCTTGGTGGAAGCACCCTACGGTCGTTTCGCACCGGGCTGCGCAAAAGGCTGCAGCGCAGCAGCACCTGGCAAAGCTGAGTCGATGCGTGGCTTTTTGGCCACCTGTTCTTCGACATGGATCTTGTCGGCAGTCTCGCTGAGTGCCTGCAGCGAGGCTGTGAGATGAGCTAAGCCATCTCCAATGCGTGAAGCCGCATTTTCCTCCTTCATTGCATCGTCCTCCGAGACTAAATCTTGAACCTCGGGTGCACCACTGGCTTCGGCACCTGTTGCGATAGATTCTTTCGAAGTCTCCAAGGTCGCTTTGGCAGAAATCAAGGCCTCTTTGGCCGTCTTGATACGTTCCAAGGCCGTTTTCTCTTCGTTCTGGAATTGCTGTGTGAATGCTTGCCATTGCTGAACACTCAAAGCAAGAAAACTGCGCCAAGACGCATGCAACTGGCCACGAGCATGATGAGCGTCCTGAAGTTCGCGTCTTGCGCGACCCAAACCATTGATGCATGCTTTTTGTTGCAGCTTGTTCTAATTTGACATCGGTTGCTTGGAGAGCGGACTGTACTTCTTGTGGTAAGTCCTCTCGATTCTTCTTCAATGCACTGAGAAGAAGCTGGAGATCGGCTTCTGCTTTGCTGGATGTGGAGCTTATGGAGCCCACGGGAACTGTACCAGCATCTGATTGAAAAGCTTGAGCAGCAGCTGTTGTCCAGCTCATTTCTCCAGCATTCTTGATTGCAAAAGGACTGGGTCCTTGCACAAAAGGTGCTCCAGTCGCTTGTTGCTGCTGCACATGAGTATTGGTATTGGATCCTTTGTGTCTGTGTGGTCTGCGCTGCTTCGGGCGCGGGCTTTGGGATTTGCCCTTGCCCTTGCCTTTGGCACCAACTCTTGGAGAGGATGGCCACTGCGAATTGTCGTATGAAAGGTATTGGTCTCGATGGTGACCCATGTTGGAGTAGGCTTCTGTCCCTGCAGACTCCATGACATGATTCTCCCAACGATCCCCACACTTCTGGCAAAAGAAAGCAGATCTCTTGTTGGTGACTCGGCACCATGAGCACTGCCATCCTGCATTCTTGATAGATGGATACTCCATTGATGCAACGTTCAAGCGTGACACAATACTCCTCAGGAAATAATGGTCTTTCGAATGATGCTTGCTTAAAACACTTCGAATCCAGACAAGTGTCGCAACCGAGGCTGGAATTTGTTGTGTTTTGATCTTCCACCACAATCTGCGCGCAAGAGCTCGAGACTTGCGAGCTCGCCGACGCACAGTGGGAATGGATGCCGTTGCAAAATGAAATGTAGAGCACCAATCCAAAAAGAAACGTCAAAAAATGCATAAAACAACCAGGGACTTAGCCAGTTCAGTTGTCTGCAAATATAAGTCACAAATGAGCCAGTCAGAAAGGGCAGCTCACGCCCACGAATAGACCAAACCAAATATAGAAAATGGAGCCAGTCAGTCGCGGGTAGCTCACACCCCAGTGATTAATGGCCACTGCAGAACCAAATCCAAAGGGAGGCACAAACAAAAGTAGATGCCAGGCCAGGAAATGAATAGCAGCGTTGAAACGGGTTTTGGATCACCCGAAACCAAACAAATAATAGTACCACTGTCACAGATGAAAACAATGGCACCGTGGGATGACAGGAACACAATCCCACTCAGGTCGAGGAACACGGGGGCACGAAAACCAGCTTCCCGAGCCAAAACCTTATGTCTGTGGATATTTAAAAAAAGGATACAGTATTTGAGATGACATTTATTTATATATTTATTTGATGAATGTCAACCCCGGATTTTGCTGAACCATGGTTTAGGGAAAATTAGAGGGGGTACTCCTCCAATAGTCATTTCATCTAATACTTATATAAATGGTACCCTTCCAATTCAACAGCCCAGGGGTTGACAAGTTTATTAATCCAGGGTTGACATTAATAGTGATTGATAGTGATTAAAAGTGATTAGCCTAGTGATTAGCCTAGTGATTAGCCAAGATCACCCTCCGGTGTCGTCAAATGTGGCTGGAAAATCCTCCACAAAGGGGGGGATGTGGACCACGCTGCCCTGTCGGAGATTGTAGGAGGGTAATATGATTCCGATTTTTAAGAATCCCAAGTTCATTTTTGTGATCAACCTGCTACACTTGGTAAGTGGAGTTTTGGTTCAGTATCTAGTATATGATGACTTGATTAGATTAGGTCGAATGTTATGTCAAATATAGTGGGAAAGTGGTGGCAGTAGTTGTTGTTCAATAATTAGTTGTGGTCAAATCATGATAATTAAATAGGACAGACCCTGTATAGCCATATTTCTTTCATTTCCCCACTTGGGGGCCTAAGCTCAATTTTCGTGGTAAAATAGCGGTATATGCTAGTTAACCCCCTAAAACGGGATGTTCAGAGAGGAAACCAGGAAAAAGAGGCTGGAGAAGGAGAGGGCCGCTGGAATATACCCTGTTTGTAGATGTAGAAAGATTTCTAGATGATGTCCTCTCAAAAATGACCAACCATGTCTTGACATTTGGTAACCGCTGGAATTTTCACCTCATCACATTGTTCCCGGAATTGGTTAAAGGGACCATTGCAGCGGGAAAACCAATTTTTGTGGACATATCCATGATGTTCGGTTAACATGTTCCCCTTGATCGCATCCATCGAATGGTTAGTCCACGGGAAACTTCTCAAGAACGACGTTTCCTGAATTTCAAGGCGCAGATGCTACGAGAACAACGGCTGGCGGGAGGCGGCAAGAAGGGCCTTCAATGTGCTGTTACTTTTTTGGTTGTGATCCAATTTTCATACATTGAAAACACAGAGAGAGAGAGAGAGAGAGAAGAAAGAGAGAGATAGACTTGTTTTTGTGGATACTTTCACGGATACTTTTGACTGAGTAGTTGGCCCTTGGACCCCAGAAAGAAACGCTACACTCGACCGCAGGTTGGAGATCACTAGACCAACCAACTGGAGGGTTAGTTTCATGCTCGAATCTTTTGTCATAAATGGGTCATGGGTGCTGGATCAGAATAAGTATAGGTTTCCAATGGGAAACCAATGATTTCCATAGGTTTCCTTAGGTTTCCTTAGGTTTCCTGTCCTTGGAAGCTCAAGTCAAGAAGACACCAGAAAGTGAGGGTGGGCCAACACGTTTCCAGCCGGCACTCTCCCATTACGGATAGACCTGGATGAACATCTTCCCAGGCGATGAAGATGATACCAGCGAGCCTGAGGCCATCGGGTGGTTAATGTTATGACAGATGGATTGACCGGGAGTCCCACTATAATAAAATAGTTATAGAACGTCAGGGATCAACGACCCACGAAGTTTACAATCTCAAACGGAACAGTTTCCATTAAACCAATCCATTGAGCAACATTGTTGTCAGATAAACATGGATAAACTGCACGAAAATTCCCAATTTCTATGGCTTAGATCCCCACCATTTGTTCATTTTGTTCTCTGTCTACATTTTTCTGGCTGGCTTTCTTCCCATCTTTTCGTGGCTGAAATCTCACGAAATCTCATGAAATGGGGATGGGTCAAAACCCTGGCACCTAGTGAACATCAAAATAGCTGGTAAATGGATGTTCATCCCACTAAAAATGTATCTATAGGTATTGATCCATACCCAAATCTCTCCATTTTTGGTGCCTGAAATTTCGCCAGCGAGTTGCTTCTGAAGGCGACGGAGCTGCCGTTGCTGCAGCATCTGCAGGACATGGCCAGGACCTTCGACGCGTTGATGGCGGGGGTGTCCAGCACCAGGTGCGGACGTGGGATGTTGGGATGATGGGAAGGTATGGTTTGAGCTGGGAAAATCAAGGAACTAGTCGAACTAGTGATTAAAACCATGGTTCTTTTCAGGGGAGATCCACCGTAAACGACTATAAATGGAGATTTCTAGCTGGGAAAATCAAGGAACATCAAGGAACTAGTGATTAATAGAGTGAGAGAGAGTAACAAAAAACTAGGTGCCAGGGTCATGTCAGTCTGGATTCAGCATGATAATGCTGATGGCACATATGGAGTTAACCATGATGGGTGTGTAAAACCCAGTCCAATATACTTCATCTGTGGGATTCACCCCGCAAGGGGTTGGGAAGTGGAACCGGGTGATATTCATAGCTATTTTTCGATGTGTCATGGCAATATCATCTATGCGGATTTTTTTTTGGGGACATACTGATATGATATACTCCTAATAAGATACAATAGAATCGCAGTTCACCACTGTTCTAGATTCTAGTAGGACTACCTTTCTATCTTTTTTGGGTTCTTTTTTGGGTTTTGTTAGTCTTCTAGCCATACATACATATATATATATACAGTATGTATAATAAACTTTAATATATGGATTTCTCTCAGAACAGGGCGGCCCTTTTAACCCCTGGGACAATCATTCGTGTCAGATCCACAAGTTGACAAGACAAACATCCCCAAGTATCGAGCATTTGGGGGCTATGATCTGACAGAATTTCGGAGAATGGGTTTGCCTGGCAGGTCTATGGCATGGTATTCTATGGTACTTAGGGACAAGACTTGGGTTTTAAGCATAAATGCAACGGCCACATCATATTGAGGCTTAGGACAGTTCATCTTTTTCCGATCACGCAAGCTGACAGTGGATTTCTCCTTGGTTTCTCCTTCTGGACGTGAAACATAGCAGATACGCAACCTAGTTTGTAAAGAATCATGGCCATCCACCAAAATTCCCGCTGGTCGCCGGTGGGCAGCTACAGTAACTTTGATGTCAGAGAGATTCCAATGGCATCCTTACCTCGCATTTGGTGACCTGGCAATGGACTTCCAGTCATGACTTAAATCCTGAAATTTCATGGTTTACTTCAGGCATGTCCAAAAACTATCAAAAACTTGAAGCCATGAAAACATCATAGAATTCCCCTCTGGTTATTTAACAGTTTGCCATGGAAAATCGCCATGCTATTAATAGGTAAACCATCTATTTCTATGGGCCATGGCTTCCATGGCAAACTGTTAGTCATAACCAGAGGGTAGATGGCCCATAGAAATAGAGGTTTACCTATTAATAGCATGGTGATTTTCCATGTCAAACTGTTCAGTCAATACCCTCTGGTAATTTAACATAGCTATTGAAAATTGCCATTTATAGTGGATTTTCCCATTGAAAATGGTGATTTTCCATAGCTATGTTAAATTACCAGAGGGTATCAGTTCCTGAATTTGACAGATACTTGACCCATCATCAATTCGAGAAAAACTCGCGGAGAAAACACCCCTGGCGACAGGTGCGTCGCACCGCCTTCCGGAGCACCGGTGGCTCCGGTGGCTCCGGTGGCTCGGCATTTCCAGGTCAAATCAGGTCATTTTTCCCAGGGAAAAGAAACGTGCCTTAGTAAGCTGACTTTTGGAGATATGTTGGGTGTATTTTGTTGGAAAATATCTCCAAAAGTTGTGTTACTGAGTTACTATATCTCCTATAATCGTTGGGTGTATTTTGTTGTGTTACTGAGTTACTGTATGTATAATCATCCGGATTTTTTAAGAGAGATTAGAAAATGACCTGGATGACCTCGCGTTGCGACGTTATTTGGGGTACCTACCCCCAAAATGGCCCTTACTTTGGGTTGCTGAAGTATTTTTACTTATCCAGACATATCTGAAAATTTGGAAAACCATTGAAACATGGGGACATCATACGAAATATAATAGGAAATGCCACCAGCCATATGATATGTTGGTTCTGAAATCGTGGTATTGACATGCGTTGATCCACCAATATATGGCAGTCTATTTGGACAATGAGGATCAACCGGTTCAGCCTTGGTGTCCTGCCGGGGGGGTTGGGCCCGTCATATAGAAACCAACAACATCGCTGGGCTTCTATGATTGCCGTGATTGCTGGGAGTATGTCCAATATCAATCAATATCAATCAATATCACATATATATATAATATATATATAATTATATATATATGTTTATAATAATATGGAAACTAGATATTATAGAAACTATATGAGACTATGATTGGACTATGATAGTGCTATGATTGGATGATAATTGCCGTGATTGCTGCGACTGCATCCGGAGGGGGTCATAGCACTTAGCCGCACCAATCCCTTCCCTCCAAAAAAAACCTCCCAGGACTGGCCCAGGACCCTATGAAACCGTTTCAATGAAACCCTGAAACCAATCCATTGAATAATAAATATCCCATTAAATCCCATTATATCCATATAAAATATCAAAAAGTAACATAAACAATAATGATTGGTTTCATGGGAAAATCCATGGTTTCCTGTAGATTTTCCCTTAAACCAATCCATTGAAGGGATCGTTCCCCCCGTATCTGCTGAAGAGGCTCCCGACCTCATCACCGGAAGCGCACTGCATGCTGCGCGGCGCCTGCGACAGCAAGGCGCGAAGTTCGGCTTGGACGGTGAACAGATGGTGGGTTTACCGGCAAAAATGCTGGGTTTACCGGCATAAGTGGTGGGTTTACCTGCAAAAATGCCGGGTTTATCTCGAAAATTGGTTGACCAATTTTTGACCCACAAACTGTTTCAAACAGTTGGTTTGCCACCAGGACATGGAGATGCATGGGGAAAACTGATGAAACAAGGGTATCTCGTTCATGTATGTCCAGGATATCTGGCTTAACTTTGGTGAATGATAAGCTAAGGGGGTTAATGCTTTGCCGTTTTGAACCGGGCATAAACTAATGACTGACTGGCCAAAAATTGAATGGCTAGGGGGTTGTCCCAACATTTCGGAGGGCGTTGAACGAAAACAAACTCTTTCGGAATCAAACGTAATAAATAGGACAATTCTCCCTAGATGAGGGAGTTCAATTGGAAAATCACCTGTATAGAGGAATTCAGATTACCAGAAGGTATGTTAAATGATGCCACAATGAATTAGTTTAGTATGGGTGACAGGTGATATGCTCTTTAAAAAACAATTTGTATGGGATTGTATGGATGGCACAGTCTCAATTTAACTTGGTTGGGTGGTAGACATGGTTTCTGCCCACCAGCCATGGCCAGGCTATGCTAAGCCTACCATCAGCTCGACTCGCAGGTCCGTGCAGTCATCAAACCTGGCAATGGGAAATCCCCAACAAAAATTGAGCTTGCGATTTTCATGATTCTTGTGGCCATATTATAGATATACCCTTTAGTAACCATTTATTCCATGATAATATCGGGTATACACTTATCGTGGTTATAAATGCCTATAATGTTTACAACTGGTTATAAATGGATATACATGCTTATAACATGTTATAACCAGTTGTTATAACAGTTATAAATGTTATAAATGGTATAAATGGATATACACCAATATTTATAACATGTTATATAACTTGATTATATATCCATTGGTGGTGATCCAGTTACAAACTCTTTCCGAACCACGGGACCTGCAACAAGCTTGGCACCAGGAGGTCCGGCCACGATTGCAGCCACTGGACGGGACCTGCAATGCAGGCGGGACTCCAAAATGGGAGGATTTTCAGGTGGAATTTTCGGAGGATCCCTGAAAAACGGTCATTTTTTCACACAAAAGAATGGGGGTACTGTACCCCATTTCATCCATTTAAAGAGGATTTTCCATGAAATAAACCAACCAGCGGGGATCCCTTGATGGGGCGTGGAAGATGTTGACCGAGGCCGACGCGCGGGACATGCGGGACGCGCGGGACGTCGATCACTTGCTGCGCATTGCGTGCGCAGATGTGGAGAGGATCCATGGTTTTGGATCCTGCCAGTGGTTTTTAGGGAACATCTGCAGGAAAAACCATGAAAAACCATCGTTTTCCAGCACTGAAAGGGTGGTTTTCATTGGTTTTCCATGGTTTTCCTTGGTTTTCCTGAATGCTTGGACGAAATCCACGAAACCAATTCTGGGATGGTAATATTCTGTCAGGCTGTCAGGATGCCAGCATCACCAGAAGTCAGAGCACCCCTGTGACAGGAGGCCAAAAAAAGTTCCAATGCCTTCAAGTATCATAAATAGCATGAACATGCATGAACGACCATATACTGAGATACTATACGATACGATACTCTACTATATATTCTATGCTGTAAGTTTTTTTTCTTTAAAGATGTTGACTCAACCAAATCTGATGAGTATGACTCATATGACGGTATGATGAGCGATTGGGAAGGCCAAGCCATTTCGCACTCTGGAGGTACTCCCCTTCACGGCCAGGGGGTACATCCAGGCCGGCAGCGTTGGACGTTTCTAGAAACCATGGTCAGTATAGGTTTGAACATAGATTACCCTCTGGTAAACTAACATAGCTATTGAAAATGGCCATTTATAGTGGATTTTCCCATTAAAAATGGTGATTTTCCATAGTTATGTTAGTTTACCAGAGGGTATAGCAACCTCCAACATGATGCCGAAAAGTGTGCAACCAGGTTGTTATCAGATGATATTTACCTCACAAAAAACCAGGTTTCCGAGTTTCCCGCTTTTCGATGTATACACCAAAACCCAGCATAGCTATGGAAAGATCCACCATTTTTAATGGGAAAATCCACTATTTCTATGGCCATTTTCAATAGCAAACTGTTAAATTACCAGAGGGTATTACAATGGCAAATTGGTGGGTGTGTATAATTTTCAGACACGCTCATTTGTAATGAATTTATTGGCGAGGGCCAGCTGAAAAACGGCGAATTTGAAGGGCCCATGGGTGCCCGAACTTGGCTTGCCCTCTAGGAGCGAATCTGGAAGTGGACTGCGTCCCATTTTTCCCATCAGGAACAGCCATGCCTGGTACCTTTCCACGTTTTTTTGCGTTCTTTGATCTAAGAGATGGGCAGTAAAAATGGCAAACATATCCAAAAATGGGTTGGTGAAGGTGCTCAACACATTACCAGTTGATCCAGTTGGTAGTTCAAAAGTGGCTGCCCCAAAGGCATCCCAAGGCATGCTGTGGATTCGACTCAGCTTCCGCCTCAGGGGACGTGAGAAAACGCCATGGCGACTTTCAAACATTGAACCTGAGCCGTGGCATGTGACGTGGGACAAGACCAGGTGACCCAAGAAGAACTGAATCTGGCGAGATGTTTGAGATGGATATGGGTGCATCACATCTTTCATATTAGCATAATTTACCATATACATATATTAGCAACAAAAGTGAAGATGAACACCAATGACAAACTGAGATGCAACCAGCAGAACCAAAGCCAGAACATGACAGAAGTATGCAATAGATTATGATCGTATATGCATCATGCAGTCTTGAGGTTTTGCCTGTGTGCCAGCTATCTTGTTGCTTTCAGGGACTGGGTTGACATCGTGGTCCGTCCCACGGTACAATGGTTTCACTCGTTCGCCCTGCGAAAGGTCGGGGTAAAAAGGTGCCATAACATGGAAACCCCAAACAAAGCTCAGACCATATATGTCCAAGATTGTCCAAGATTGTCCAAGGTTTCGTGTTGATATGCGTTGATATGTGTTGATCGTCATTCCATTTTCTGCCGACTTCGAACAGGATTCATGTGCAGTAGCAGAATGCGGGCCCCAGTGTTGGTACCCAAGAGATTCCAAAAGCAGAATCATATAATCCCATGAACATTTGGATCACCTGGAAGTCAAAGTTATTGACTCCCGGAATAGGTTGCTTTACAGTAACAAATATGAAAAAAACACTCCTCCACTCCTGGCCCCTCGCTCAAGGGAGCCCACTTGAAGGGGTCGGGATTTGTTCGTAATATCTGAGGAATCATGGGGTTGCACCCCAATATCCCCAAACTAATCCAACTTATATGTAAATAGTTTTTTTTTTCACTGATACATATTTACATTATATATACACCTATCATATCCTATCATTGTATAATTACATATACCCTCTGGTTATTTAACATAGCCATGGAAAATCACCATGTTTAATAGGTAAACCATCTATAAATGGGCCATTTTCCATGGCTATGTTAAATAACCAGAGGGTACATATATATGAATTTAGCTACAGTGACATCCGACATGGATTTGCTAAATTGATACGTCACTTTCCTATGGAACCCCCCGCAGGCAAGAACTTCTGGAACGCCATCTACGACTTCACCGGGCGAGCCGATGGTGCGAACTGGTGTCATGGTGTCATTTCATGGCTGGGCCATGGCTGGGAAATCCGTGGTCTGTGATGCATTTAGTGGGACAATCATAGGAAAATCAAAGGAACATCAAAGGGAAAATCATAGGAAAATCATAGGAAAACCATAGGGAAATATGGAGAAAGTGTGGGAGCAGATGGAAAATCCCTCTAAATGGAGGTAGCTAGGAAAATCATAGAACTAAATGGGGGATTTTCAAGTGCTATAGGTTTGATGACCAACAGTCGTAAATTTCATGGGTACTTGATGTGCATCCCGCTGAATTTCTCAGTGGCTAATAACATCTAGACTCACAACGTGGAGCAACCAACTTATATGGTGGACGTAACGTAGCAAGTTTCATAGTTTATTACGAGTTTGCAAACTTTGATGCGCCCCGAAGTAGGAGGAATACTTCGGTGACACAGGCGGACCCACCTCTTTTTTTTGGGCATCATGAGCATTATGAGGATCATGGGACCAGCTTGTTGGAAAGGACTTGCCATGCTGGTTGTGCCTTCCTTTCTTCAGTCAGTACTTGAAAGGATCAGAGCCATTATCAATATGATCAAGATTCATCAAATTTCTAAAACCTCAGGGGATATTTTTTCGTCAGACAATCTTAATTATATATATACGCAGTTTTATAAATTATATATAAATATATATATATATATCTCTGTGTGTGTTGGCTATATAGTTATACATGTATGTATGTATGCATATATGCATATACCCATTAATGATGTATTTATTGATGTATTTTTGGTCGAAAATCCATGGGAAGCCGATCCGACATTCGAAAGCCCAAGGCGCATCCTTTCGCTGGGCGAATGTCGGGAGTTGGAGTTGCACGATGGCGATGCGCTAGGTGAATCGGAGATCTTCAGGATCAATGGAGGTACGTAAACGTACCATAGGTTTGGCCATATTTTGTGGGGATATTCCCTGAAATTTAGGCCGAAAAAATAGTTTTTTTTTTTTAATTTTTATTTTTAAAAATCATTTTTTTGTTGTTTATTTATATATATATATGGTAGGTACCTCCAATAAATCGGTTCCTGAAATGGCCATTGATTGAACATCGTTTCACCATGGGAAAATGGTGATTTCACCAGCCAATTCATAATTCCTGGGAAAAGTCTTGGGATTTATAGATTTTAGAGCATACCATTTGCTTCAAGTACCTGTACCCTCTGGTAAACTAACATAACTATTGAACATGGTGATTTATAGTGAATTTTCCCGTTGAAAATGGTGATTTTCAATAGCTATGTTAGTTTACCAGAGGGTAAAATCTTCATACATCTTCATACCTTTCTGGGAAGACATGATGTTTTTCTAGGTACCTGCGATTTCAAGGGTTTTGGAATGTTTTGGAAGCCCCTGGGATCTATAGCTGACGTTAAACACATTGACAAGCAAATCCATGACAAGCAATGACTGTCATGGACCCAGAGCTTATTCTTAGATACCTGTCGTGGGCCGATGCTTGCATTCCAGCCTCGAGAATGGACTGGAGATGCCCGCCTAGTATGTCCCACTTAAAAAAACCATCAGAACATCCAGTGAATCGAAAGTTGGGGACCTATCTTTCGAACTTGATTCCATCAATGGGAATTCCAGGATCCTAAAATGGAGGTACTGTACCTTATATAGGCCTTATATATGGTAGGTACCTCCATTTTAGGATCCTGAAATTCCCATTGGTTCCATTTCATTTCTAGATTTTCCCCCGTTGGTCGCTCAGTCACAAAAAAGATTTGAATGGCGATCCAGATCCAGGTGACTGGCAGTGTCCATCCCCTGAGCTGAGTCCGACCTGAAAAATGGGCCGGGAGGGATTGGTTTTGCATGGTTTTGCCCCCAAAAAACCTATATTTTTATAGTAAAATAGTTCTATTAGGGATAGTACTGTAATATACTATAATATACTATAATATACTATAATATGCTACAATATACTATAATAATCATAGCCGCAAAAACTCTGGGTAGTTCAAAAATCACGATATGATGGAGTGCAAATCAGATCCACTAACTCGAATAATAACTCGATGTTCGGCCTTTGCTGGACTCTTTTGAGATCTTTGAGCACAGAGAAATGATGAGAAATGAAAGTCTTTGGGTACTCCGGGGTATGGTCGAGATTGACTCGAAATTCTTGAGTTGGCAAGTCATGTTCGAGATCATTTGTTTTATATACAATTTTCATCAATTTTCCCCTCCCGCCTGGCAGGAGAACTCCAAGTGATGGTATGATTCATAGAACTGGCTTTGCCCGAAACAAGGGGTGCCCCAAATCAAACTGTTTGTGAATGGAAGCAGTGTGCAGTTTTTTGCACCCGTCATTTACTGTATGTCATTTTATATCCCCTGATTGAGTCCACATTGGTGCTCAAATCCTGATATGTGTCTTTCACGTGTTGGTCGGCCTTACCCAAAGTTTGGTCCTAGCATTAGTTTAAGGACATTTTACACACCGGTGGCCGGGTGTGGGGCGCACTGCGCGAGGGCCTTTGTGCATTGTGCAAAGGATACCTTTGGGCTTTTGGCCAGCCTACTGGATGCTTAGTAGATGACAACGAGACGATGCGCTAACGTGCTCGTTGGGCTCAAAGTACCTGTCTGGGTAGTGGGCCGGGTTTGGCTTGTGCATTGTATGCAGCCGTACGGTGGGGAGTAGGGGAGGCCACCCAAAGTGCACTGATCGAGGGATAGCTTTCCCAGTGGCCCATGGCAAATATATTTGAAGGCACGAGGCAGAAAAGGTAGACAAGATATGATGATATATGATGAAAGATAAGAAAGATATGATGCATCATGGACATGTTCTTCAGAGAGTTCTTGGGTTCGCAATTGATCCAGATTGGGCTGGCTTACCCGGGTTGTGTCACCCCCCGCAAACCATTGGGAGAAGGGCACTGAATAAGATCGGGCAACAGAGAATCAAACAAATACTTGAGTTTCCTGTTGTCGCTTTGCAGAGGAGTATTGCGTTTGCATGTTGGGGCAAGATGGGACAAGCACATGACGCAGATCGCTTTGATGTCCGCATAAGCTGTGTTTGTCACGTGTTGGTCCGCCTTACCCAAGTTTGGTCCTAGCATCAGTTTGAGGCCATTCTGCACACCGGTGGCCGGGTGTGGGGCGCACTGCGCGAGGGCCTTTGTGCATTGTGCAAAGGATACCTTTGGGCTTTTGGCCAACCTACTGGATGCTTAGTAGATGACAACGAGACGATGCGCTAACGTGCTCGTTGGGCTCAAAGTACCTGTCTGGGTAGTGGGCCGGGTTTGGCTGGTGCAGCAAGGTATGCGAGCATCCAGACCTTACCCAAAGGTCCATAAAGGTCCATTCCATGGGCTCGCAGGTGGTGAGTAGGGGAGGCCACCCAAAGTGCACTGATCAAGGGATAGCTTTCCCAATGGCCCATGGCACATATATTTGAAGGCATGAGGTAGCAAAGGTAGAAATATATGATGAAAGAGATGACGAAACATGGGCATGTGCTTCAAAGAGTTCCAAGGTTGGCAGTTGATCCAAGTTGCCCTTGCTTACCTGGAATTGTGTCACCCCCCGCAAACCATTGGGAGAAGGGCACTGAATAAGATCGGGCAACAGAGAATCAAACAAATACTTGAGTTTCCTGTTGTCGCTTTGCAGAGGAGTATTGCGTTTGCATGTTGGGGCAAGATGGGACAAGCACATGACGCAGATCGCTTTGATGTCCGCATAAGCTGTGTTTGTCACGTGTTGGTCCGCCTTACCCAAGTTTGGTCCTAGCATCAGTTTGAGGCCATTCTGCACACCGGTGGCCGGGTGTGGGGCGCACTGCGCGAGGGCCTTTGTGCATTGTGCAAAGGATACCTTTGGGCTTTTGGCCAACCTACTGGATGCTTAGTAGATGACAACGAGACGATGCGCTAACGTGCTCGTTGGGCTCAAAGTACCTGTCTGGGTAGTGGGCCGGGTTTGGCTGGTGCAGCAAGGTATGCGAGCATCCAGACCTTACCCAAAGGTCCATAAAGGTCCATTCCATGGGCTCGCAGGTGGTGAGTAGGGGAGGCCACCCAAAGTGCACTGATCAAGGGATAGCTTTCCCAATGGCCCATGGCACATATATTTATTTGAAGGCATGAAGAAGAATAGGTAGCAAAGATCTGATGATATGATGAAAGATATGGATGAACGATATGATACATCATGGATATTATGGATATTATGGATATGTGCTTTAAAGAGCTCCTGGCACATGCGAAACTTTCCGCAACGCGAAATCGAGGTCACGAGCTGCTGTGCACAGCTCCGTTGACGAGCTCCCCGGCGTTTTTCATGCTGTGTGGTAGAAAAATGAAGCGATTTATACGGACGGATATGTACTCAACGTTTTTATTGTCAAACGTTTTCCAAATTTACCAAATGCAAAACAAAAACGCCTCAGAACATCACCAAACATCAAAAAAACATATGTCTTAGAACATCAAAATAGTGTAAAACCAATCATGCACTAGCTTAGAACATGTCTTGTTTAAGGGATTTTTAGGGGTCTCCAATTCTTTTTTTCATGTTCTAAGTGCATGCTGGTCCCTATAATAAGGGATGAGTTACAGGAACCCCCTATGCTTTAAATGGCTCTCCACTTGCAAAGATCTGGCATTGAAAACATAAAGCCCCCAAGTTGAAATGTGTTCCAAGCTCTTCCGCTCGCTGATAAACATCCAGGGTTGAGATTGTGGAGGGGAAATGCTTGCAATTTTGTTTTTGACTCTTGAATCATCAGTGAAAACATGCGTTTGTCCATGTTTGTCCCACAAATGTTTGTTCTATGTGCATTGTCCAGCTTAAACCACTGGTTTCAAACCCGCCTATATTCTCCTGTGTTGCAGGTGGTGGGGCAAAATTGCATTCTCCATTACTTTTAGTTGAACGGGCATACACTTAGAACATCGTCATGCGCACAAATTATGCTCCAAGTGTAGGGTTTTCCCAGGATGTTCTACTCCATGTTCAAAGTACATGGCTCTGACCTACTTTTTCAGAGGTGGTTGCGCCATCTATTTAACAGTGAAAAAAATCAATCCCAAATTTACCCGAAACAGCAAATGTGCCAGAAGATGGCGCAACCCTACATGTGCAAAATGGGCCAAATTGCGCCATCTACCCCATTTTCAATTTAAATTCCTTCTTCCGGGACCGGACATTTCGGTCATCAAAGCGTTGAAAAAGTAAGGGGGATGTGTGTTCAACAAAAGTTTTTCGGGGAAAGGATTTTTTCACTACTAAACTACTGAATAGATGGCGCAACCACCTGGGACAGTGCCATCCAATTGCATATTTGTCACGGAGAGATGGCTCAAGTCAAAACACCGAAGCATATTTGTCCTTCACTGCAATGTAGAAACACACTAGCTAACCATCTTTGCAGAGAATGTAGGAACACACATTCTTTGTCATGACTCCCTGACATGGGGTTGCGCCATCTACGTGGTTGGTTGTATCTGTTGGGAACAAGTTTTGTATAGTTTTGTGAGGATGTTTGTGTAGTTGCTGCATGTGCAGCTGCAGCTGCAAAAATACGTAATTAGAGATCCAGTCTGGCTTGCTCTTTCGGCCCTGTGCTGTGGGCAAGTGCAGAACTGTGCAGCAGCGGCTAAAGAATTCAATATGAAGAAAGGCCGAATTCGAAATGCAAATTACAATGCCGACTAGTTTTCAGAGACCAGGGGGAAGAGAAAAAACGGAGCGCAACCGACTGGGTGAATTATATGCGGAGGCTTGGAAACTTTGGACTTAAGAATCCCTGCATAGATGGCGCAACCCTGAAACACATTGGCAACACATTCTGGCATAGATGGCGCGACCCACAAAAGTAAGGGGGATGGATGTCACGCCCTTCTCGGGTGTCAGTTCTCCTTTTAATTTTTTCCTTTCTCCTTTCTCCTTTCCCTTTCTTTTTCTCCTTTTTCCGTTCTCCTTTCCCTTCTCCTTTCCCCTTTCCTTTACAAATGGAACGCAGTGGTACTGTAAGTGGCTCCTCCCGAGTAGACACTTAGAATATCTTAGACTTGTCCAGCAGAGTTTTCCAAATAAATGATGTTTTAAGTGCATGCCCGTCGGTAATAGATTATTTTCCTATTAAAGATAGTGATTTTCCAATACTTTCGGTTTATTTCTCTAGTTTAGGCTTGAATTTTGCTTTTCTGTAATTTTTCATCCGTGGCTACTCTAGTAGTGTGGATTAAGAACCACAGGATACAAATACTGTGCAAGTGGGTTATAATCGTGAGTGTGTTTTTTTGGTGTCAGGGAAAGATAGGGTACAACGGTAGAAATACGGTAATCTATAGTATATAATCGCTCACAGATGCAGAACTTTGATATTTCGTTGATTGCATTTACTTTTCTGCAATTTTTTTCGCGGCTGCTGGTGGTACTTGAACATGGCAAGGGTCTGCATCTCGGCTTTCACTGGAACAATAAGAATACATCTTCCAAGTGATCATAAATACTCCAAAATTGATTTTTGCAAGGTGCAGCAGACCTATTGTCATTAAAATGACTTGGACGCCAAACAACTTTTTGTCTGCATGGAAGATGAATTTCTTTGCCGCATTTGTTGTCTTTTGTTTATGTTTTTTTTTAAATATTTGGGGATCGTGTGATATTTTAGATGTGTTGTTTCCAGTTTTTGTTGGTCACATGACCTCTTTGTTGCTTTTTTATCCTTGCGAAAGATGTCGAATCAGCTTGGATTGCAATAAGGTGAGGCACCCGATTGCTAAGTTGACGCACATAACTTGGTTAACTATGGTCTAGGGAGGATACAACTATAATAACTACAGTAACTACAGTTCTTTACTTGCGCCAACTTGCAAAACTCTTATTGGGGGCGTCACCCTGTACCCTGGTTATCCTGGTTGGTTGCTAAAGACCATGTTCCAGAATTGGATGAAGAACTTAAGATATAGAGGACCCGTCCCACAAAATGAAGGGTAAATTGGTAAATCGCTACCGTTAAAGCCATGAAACACAACTGTGGTCTCCTCCAATCCTAGATTTGCTGAAGATGTGTGTTGTTTACCCATGGGTCGATCCATCAGAAATGGGGAATCTGCTGGTAGGACTGTTTTTTTTTGGGGGGATGACCTCTTAAGTAAACCTACCACAAGCTTCCAAGTACCCAAAAATATCATGGTGGGGCAAACCCCAACATTTGGGTGGAAAATCACCATTTTTAATATATATATATATAAACCTCTATAAATGTGCCATTTCCCATGGCTATGTTAGTCAAAACCAGAGGGTAACACTTGAACCAATTTTTGTGGCCTGGAGGATGGGTTGGTACATCCGACCATGGCGCTTTCACATGGCCCATGCGAGGCGATGAAACTCACGGGCAGTCCATGACGCAGATCCCGCAGACCCGGCCGCAACTGCCAGAGGCCACAGGACGCGTTTGTTGTCGCTGCCAGCCGGATCGGTTGGGGAAAAATCCAGGGGAAAATCTGAAGAAAACCTATGGAATTTCGAGGATTTTCTATGATTTTCTCATGTATATGGAGGAAACGTGGAGGATTATGGAGGTGTCCGGTGTTTTTTTCCTGAACCAAAAACCATCGTTGGAGTTCATGGGGATTTGACTTCACGATTATTTTTTCCCCCTCCAGTCTCCATCAATGGCCATTTCAGGAACCGATTTATTGGAGGTACCCACCATATATAAGGCCTATATAAGGCCTATGTAAGGGAATATCCCAGCAAAATATGGCCAAAAATATGGTACTAACGTACCTCCATTTTAGGATCCTGAAGATCTCCCATTGACTCCATGATGTTAACATATTTTTGGTAGAAGATAGAAATGATCATGTTGAAACCAAAGACGCCAATGCGGGGCTTAATGCTTAAGAAACAACCAGGGAGATTTGAAGCAACAATACTTCGGGAGTGGATCCGCAAAATGGAGAAATATTAAATGCTTGGGGACTGATAGAAGGGGTTCATCTTCAGCTGGGTATGGATCAATACCTATAGATACCATTTTTAGTGGGATGAACATCCATAAATCCCAGCTATGATTTGGGGTTCACTAGTTGAAATATATCGACCCCTGAGCCCCCACTACATGTAGCATAGCAGGTAGGTATAGCGTAGTGTAAATAGCGTAGCTATGAGTTCCAATTCAAACTCCAAATAGTTTTTCCTTAGCATGTCGCTCTTGCGCGACATACTGTACATTGAGTATCATAACATACCTAGAAGCGTTAGGTATGTTCAGTGCCTAGGGTTTATTCCAGGGTTTTAGTTGTCCCTTATCCAACAACCACCGGGTTCGGGTCATAACTAACCGCTGGTTGACGTCCGTGGCTCAAGTGCCCAAAAAGGTCGGGTGCTTGGTTTGTTTAATGGGGTTATCGAAGGATACCGTGGTTGGTTCCCTTGTTCGGTCCCCTGTTTTCACTGGTTATCAGCCGTAGGTGCTTTTTGGGGAAGTCTAATCCTTCGATAACTTCTGGTTTAGGCCCCTTTATTTTTCCCGCACTTCCGTCATTGACCGTGCATGCCCTCAGATAGCTCCGAAAGGGTCGCTGCTGATTACAGCGCGACACCGGAAACTCCAGTGGAAGGAACCAACGCTCTAGGGGAAGCAGAAGGTGTTGAGAAGTTTAATCCACCAACTGCTGAACCGGGCGCCGCGGCCTCCCGAAACTGGGCGGATCTATCTGAGGATATTCTGTCGCCCGTGCTGTCTTTTGGTGAGGCGCCCACTTCTGCAGATCGAGCCCAAGGACATCTGACAGACGTGAAGGAAGAGCTACATCAGGAGACATCAAGCTCGGGTGCTGTGCCTTCAACATTTTTCTTGCCTGACGGGGTCGCCGACGAAAACGTCGCGACGGATTTTGCGAGCCACGTTTCAGACCCTGCCACAGCATTGAACATCCCCGAAGAAGTTCTTGCAGCGGCTGCCTTTACAGACTCAGGTCCAGTGGGGGAAGAAGGTCAGAACAGTTTTGCATTTCCGTCGATCCTGTCAGAACAAGCGCAAATTGAAGCAGCTGACAATTTTTCGGTGGAGGTCACTGGTGACAATACCGCGACGGACAAGGTTTCTGGTGAAATAACTTTTTCCGAAGTTTCTGGATTGGAAGGCGCCAATAACAGTCTGGAGCTTGTCAAAAAGGAAGAAGATCAACAGACACTTGGTCCAGCCTCTACTGAAGCCGTCATTGAAGCTGCCCATCAAACTGAAGGTACTACAACAACCAACTTAGGTGAAGACGCAATTGTTGCAGCCGTTGTCAAAGCTGAAGTTGACCCAAAGAGTCCTGAAGCTGACGCTTCTGACATTGCAGCATCCGTCCAACCTGAGACCCAAAGCTCAGGCCATAGTGTAGAGCCAGTTGCAGTATAGGATCCCAAGAAGCATCCGAACCAGCCTGTGCATCCGCTAAGCCTGAGGTCGTTGACACAACCGTTGTCACGACAGGTAACCCAGGTGTAAGTGTAGACTCAGCCCCCTTAGGAGCCCCTGAAGTTTCTAATCCAAAAGCTGAATCCACTGAACCTGGGGTCGCTGACACTTCCGTTGTCGCGACATCCAATACACAACTAGACACATCTGTTTTTGTTGCACCACCCACTAGTCCCAACTTAGTTGAGCCTGGTGTTGAGCCCATCCGTACTGGTCACTCTCCCTCCGCTCCATCTGCAGGTCCAAGACAACGCACTCGACAGAGGAGTTCACGCGGTGGGCAGACCACACGAAACCAGGAAGCCACCCGGGCTTGGTTTAGTGACCTAGATACTTTTAGGGATTGGTTGTATCAAAATACAGGTGGGAGGTCAGGTCGTGGTTTCTGGCTAGGCCGATATCTTTTAGACGGTGTTGACACTGACCAAAAGTGGCAAGTCGCTAATCATCAAGCCATAGCAGATTATCTGACCGTAACCCAGTGTTTAGTCCTTACATTTAACTTGTGGCCTGAATACAAAAATTGGGCCCTTGCAAACGGCCTGGACAGGAGACGTGGTATTGGACACGGCCGTAACGCAGTTGAAAAGGGCGTACTACCCCCAAAGCGTATCATTAACTTGAACATTTTGGGTAGTGAATTCCCTCCTCAAGAAAGCTGGGATTACTATAATAGGTACGTAGGCCCAAACGCCCCTGCGAAGCCCAAAGCTCGGGCCGCTGCCCCGGCTTCGGCTGGTGGCGCGGCAGCTACACGACCGCCAGAGCCCAAAGAGCCGCCAAAAGCTGCATCGCCAAAGGCACAGCAGCCGAAGGCACCAGCCTCTGGCTGGCAACCAACTTTGCGTGCTGCGGATCAAGTTGTACAGCAAGCCGAGTTTAGCAGTGTCCGCACTTCATCATCCGTCCGCCCGTTGCCAAAGCAATCGCGAGGGGTCGTTGCTCCCAAAGAGCGCGACGCAGCAGTAGTTTCATCTGAGGGTTCCGGTAGTGCTCCAACAACTGTAGCAGCCCCAAAAGTCCCCAAAGATAAACCTGTTGTGTCAAGGCCCTCGCCACCACCACCAAAGCAGCCGCAAGGGGTCGCCGTTCCCAAGGAACGCGACGCAACAGCCGTTGCATCCGAGGGTTCCAGTAGTGCTCCAATAAGTGTAGCCACTCCGAAAGTTCCTAAGGTTGAACCTGTTGCGAAGCCTTTGCAGCCGCCAAAACATCAGCAAGGGGTCGCTGTTCCCAAAGAACGCGGCACAACAGTGATTGCAGCCAAAGCATCCGGTAGTGCTCCATCAAGTGCAGCCGTGCCTGAAGCTCCAAAAGCTGATCCTGTTGTAAATCCCTTGCCAGAATCTAATAATCCCAAAGGAGTCGTTGTTTCCAAAGAACACGACACATCAGCCACTGCGCAAAAGGTTTTAGATACTACCCAAATAATTGAAGTAGTCCCTAAGATTCCCAGTAGTCCAGCTGTTGTAAACCCTTTGACTAAGGCTAAGCTCCCATCACCCCCATCATCACCACCACCTGTAGTCCCTTCTAATATTCCACCACCGCCACAGCATCCGCCGCCAACACCGGAAGAGCTCGCTGCGCGAGCTCCGGCTTTTGCCAAGGCGCGCGAGACAGTGGGGGGGAATCAGGAGGAAGAGGAGGAAAGTTTTGAGGTTGAAAGTGAGGAGGAGCCAGCACCTGTTGCCAAAACTGCGTCTCCAAGGGAGAGGCACACCAAAAGAAATAGGTCCATCCCACCTTTGCCTGTTAATCTTTTGTCTAGAGAAGCCAGGGAGCAGATTGAGCTTGCTCGAGAACTCCGTGCTGCTGGTTATCCTGACACACGCCTAGATTCAGCAGGAACTTGGGTGCGGGTCGCCGGACCTTCGGTCGCGACAGTTGTAGAGCGTCCAGTTGCTCATCCTGTGGTAGTTCCTGGAACTGAGACTCAAGAAGTTGAGGGCATTGATCCTTACGAACTGGAGGACGCCGCCTGGCAGAATCCATCCTTGAGCTCTCGTCGGGTCGTGTTGGTCACCCCAAACTTGCAGTCTTCGGACATTGTAAATTTGACCACACGTGATCCTGACACCGAGGAGGAAGGCACAGAAGACCCTGCACTGGCATCACAAAGATTTCAAGAGACTGGTAGGAATTTCATTGCAGCGGCCAGCGCCGAGCCTATTGAAGCCGACCCAGTAGCTTTTGAATCGCGACCACCTAAAGTGCCACCCCCAAAGAGGCAAAAGGTAACCATAAAGATAACTTCAAGGGATTATAAAGACCCAAAATCAGCAGCATCGTCGCCAAAAGACACCTCAGAGCCCTCACGTAGGTTCCCACAGGACATTGTGCATCCGTGGAGAAAACAAGAGGGCGCTGCGGCAGAATCCCCAAAGTCTGCTGCCTGTGGGGTCGCTGCGGAATCCCGCGCGACAGGTGCCGTTGACAGGTCTAGATCCCCAAGAAATCTAACATCTACACCCTCTGAACCAGTTCAGCATAGCTCATCACCTGTTAACCTAAGAGGTAGATCCCCCAATAAAAGTGGTAAGGAGCCATTGAGACCCCCTCCACCGAAGAGGGCAAGTTCTCAGCCATTGTCATCAGCAACTACCAAACGGATTGCTAGGGAGGCTGTTGCTCCCAGCACGCCACAGGTCACTGTTGCAAAGGCCAAAACAAATAAGGCTCCCCCACCGGGTGTTCGACCAGGAGCTCCCCCGCCAAAAGCTAGGCCAGCTCCACCACCACAAGATAAGCCAAAACTCCCTTTTAAAGCACCTCCTGGCCACCTTCCTCGTAAGGCGCCACCAGGGTACTTGAAGGAGCAGGCTTCTAGTGGAAAGGCATTCTTGGGAACAGATCCAACAGAGCCAAAAGCACCTGCTGGACAGGCAGAAGGGGCTGCTGCCGCACCTGTGGCGCAGCGGGGTGAAGAGTCGAGCGGAGCTCCAAGTGCACCTTCGGATTCGCACGCTCCCTA